CATCATCGATATTATCATCAACACCCTCCTCAGCAGCAGCAACATCATCATCATCGCCGTCATCAGCATCATCACCATCATCATCAACATCAGCATCAGCATAGTCGGCAGCATCAGCATCGTCATCATCATCATCATCATATAAGTATCATCAGCAGCATCAACAACCGCATCGGCATCATCAGCGGCATCATCGTCATCAGTATCATCGTCATCCGCATCATCATCAGCAGCATCATCAACAGCAGCAGCATCATCATCGTCATCATCGACATCATCACAATCAGCAGCAGCACCGTCATCATCGTCATCCTCAGCATCAGCATCATCATCCGCATAATCATCATCGTCATCAGCATCGTCATCAGCAGCAGCGTCAACAACAGCAGCATCATCATCGTTATCAGCATCAGCATCCGCATCATCAGCATCATCATGTTGCATCATCATCATCCACATCAGCATACTCAGAATCATCATTTGCACAATCAGCATCAACGTCAGCATCATCATTAGCAACATCAGCGTCATCACCATCATAATGATCAGCCTCATCATCATCATCATCATCATCATCATCATCATCATCAGCATTACCACCGCCGCCATCATCATCCTCGTCATCATCATCATCATCATCATCATCATCCTCATCAGCAGCAGCAGCATCACCATCAGCATCATCATCGTAATCAGCATCAGCACCATAACGCTCAGCATTATCATCATCAACAGCATCATCAGCATTCTCGTCATCATAATCACAAATATCACCATCACCATGATCTGCATCGTCATCAGCATTGTTAGCATCAACATCAGCATCATCACCACCATCAGCATCGTCATCACCGTCAGCAGCAGCAGCCGCAGCATTGCAATAGCACCATCAGCAGCAGCATCACCGTTGTCGTCGTCGGCGCCGTCGCCATCGTCATCATCATCAGCAGCATGATCAGCAGCAGCATCCTCACCACCACCACCATCATTACCATCAGCAGCAACATCATCATCATCGGCAGCATCATCATCGTCAACAACATCAACATCATCATCGGCAGCATCAGCAGCCGCATGAGCATCATGATCCTCATTACTTACCAGCATGATCATCATCGTCGCCGACATCGTCATCGTCAGCAGCATCGTCATCATCATCATCAACAAAATCAGCATCCTCATCATCGCAATCATCATCACCATAATCAGCATCATCATCATAATCATCAGCAGCAGCAACACCATCAACAGCAACATCAGCATGAGCATTAGCGTCATGATTAGTACCAGCATCAGGATCATGCAAAACATCAACATTATCCTCATCATCGTCAACAGCAACAGCATCATCATCGCCGTCAGCATCATCATCATCACCCGCAGCATCAGCATCATCAGCGGCATCATCATCAGCATTAGCATCATCACCACCACCAGCATCATCATCATCATCATCAGCAGCATCAACATCATCATGATCAGGATCGACATCACCACCATCACCAATCATCAGCATCAGCATCATCACCATCACATCATCACCACCAATCATCATCATTGTGTTCATCATCATCATCATCATCATCATCATCATCATCATCATCGTCATCATCACCATCATCATCATCATCATCATCATCATCATCCGCATCCTCACCGTCATCATCATCAGCAGTAGCATCAGCATCAGCATCAGCATCAGCATCAGCATCAGCATCAGCATCATCAGCATCAGCATCGTCATCTCCGTCGTCATCGTTATCGTCATCGTCTCCAGCGTCAGCATCAGCATGAGCAACGACACCATCGTTGTCGTCATTGTCGCCGCCACCGCTGTCGTGGTCGTGTCCACTATGATCATCATCATCATCATCATCATCATCATCATCATCATCATCATCATCAGCATCATCATCGTCATTATCATCATCACCAGCAGCAGCACCACCACCATCAGCATCATCGCTATCAACATTAGAATCGTCATCATCGTCATCAGCAGCAGCATCAGCATCATCGTCATCACCAGCATCATCATAACCACCACCACCATCATCATCGCCATCATCAGCATCATCATCATCAGCAGCATCATCATGAGCATCATAATCATCGTCAGCATTTCCATCGTAATCGTCATCAGCATCAGCAGCAGCATCAGCAGCAGCATCAATATCACCGTCGTCATCGTTGCCGCCACCGCCGTCGTCGTCATCGTCGTCACCATCATTATCATCATCAACAGCAGCAGAAGCAGCATCAGCATCAGCATCAGCATCAGCATCATCATCACCACCATCATCAGCATCAGCATCACCACCACCACCACCATCATCATGATCATCATCATCATCATCATCATCATCATCATCATCATAGTCGCCACCACCAACATCATCAGCACCATCACAGCGATCACCATCACCATCAACATCATCACCATCAATATCAGTATCCTCATCACCACCACCACCATCATCACCACCACCAGCATCAGCAACATCAGCAGGAACATCCTCGTCCTCCTCTTTCCCACACTCTCGGGACCGAACACAACATCCGATTAACGTAAGGCGCCGAGGGCGAACGTCGGCCAGAGCTTTCGGCGGAGGAGCGCCAGAAAAAACGAGGCGGGCGAGGTCAAGCTCGCCAGCTTCCGAGCGAGGCAAGGAAGTGGGATGCGCCTCCTTCGTCCTGTGCGAAGCACAGACAACCTCCTGCAGTGCCTCCGAATGGCCCTGGACAGCGTTTGAAAGCGGCTCCACTAATCCCCCTTTGGGGCGTAAGTGGTTTAGAAAGTTTCTTCTTCCAACCACCCTTTCTTCTCCCTCTGTGAGGGGTTTACCACTGTTCCCTATGAATAAACACCCCCTCCTGCAGGCGACCGGCAGCCAACCAGGACCAATGATAACCCCTCCCCCACTATCCATGTCAGAAAACAATGTGAAGTCCACTTGGGCCAAAATCTTGGGTCATGATTGGGGGGTGCCGCGAGTACTGTGTAAGTTTGTTTGACAGGACGGCGGGGGTGCAGTGCCCGCATATTGCCTGCTGCGCGCAGGGCCAGCATCCCCATCAAAAAAAACATGTGCGGGCACCCCGCAGTCATCGTGCATTGGTTTTTGACTGTGACGGCGGGGGTACTGGCATTTTGCCTGCTGTGTGCAGGCCCACTAGACACTATGATGGCCACTCCGCTGCGATTGCGGACTGGTTTTCGACAAGGGTGGTGGGGCCCGTGGGGGCCGACATGCTTCCCGATGTGTACTGCCACGTGAACAGGCGCACCTGGCACGCTCTGCGCGTGCCCCGAACGTGGCGCACCTGACGCGGCTAGAGCATGCGGACCACACGGCGCACTTCGATCACGTGGCGCATCTGGCGCACCAGGCGTGCCTGGGGCCACAGGGGTGCCTGGCGCACCTGGTGCGCGTGGCGACCCCTGGTACGCGTGGCGCATCTCCCCCCAGCGATGCGCACATGGGGTTTGCTTCTGTCCCCATTAGCTATCAATGCAAAAACGACCGCTGAACATGCTGCGGCTCGGGTGCTACTTATGCGCTGGGAGGGCGGGTGGGAGTGAGCGAGACGGCTTGCGGCCGGGGAGAGGGTTTTGACCCCTCCCCCGACCTACCCCCCCCCCGGACCTGGAGGGGAGGTTTCGCGGGTCGTTGGAGCGTCCCAAATGGCCCCTGCGAGAAAGCCAAAATCACTGGCGATACTAAGGTGTTGGCCACACGTTGGCCTCCTGGGGAGGGGGGCCTAATTGAGAAGCTCCCCTCCTTTGGTCGATCTCTTCCTAGATGGAAGATGGCCCCCGAGGCTCCTAAGGGTGCCCCAAGATGGCCCCAGGCCCGAAGAGGCCCCAAAGAGGCGCCAAGATGCCCCCAAGAGGCTCCCCAGAGACCCTCCAGACGCCTCAAGATGCCCCCAGAGGCACCCAAGACGCACCAAGAGGCCTCTGCGAGAAGACCAAAAATATTGACTCAGGTTTTGGCCACAGTTTGGCCTTCTGGAGGGGGGGGGCTAATTGAGGAGCCCCTCTCCTGTGATCAATCTCCTCCAAGACGGCCCCAAGATGGTCCCAAAGACTCCCAAGGGTGCCCCAAGACGGCCCCAAGAGGTGCCCAGGAGGCCCCAACAGGCTTCCACGATGTCCCTGGGATTCTTTCTCGTGGGGCCCCGCAGCTGGGATCTGGGAACCTTGGCCATGAGGCCCCCCTATCGGGACTCCCCCCAATTGCTGTTGTTCCCCAAACGTGTTTTAGCATACGGGGGTCTTACCTGATCATGAGGATTGTGCTTCGCTGACGTGATTGCTTTCATATTTGGGGTCGACGTTGGGGTAATTAGCAGTCTTGGAGTCCGACACCCGAAATCGAGGAAAAGCGATGGAACTGAGCAAACACCACGACGTTGGCCTCCAGAGGACCCCCGTAGGCTGAGGTCCCCTGAGGCTCCCCAGAGGCACGAATAAGACCCAAAAGCGACCGAAAACCGCCATCCGAGCATCGAACATCGACCAAAAGATCCGCCCCAGGCCATCCGACGATGAGATGCTTGTTCGGTCCGCGGGCTCCAGGGGGGTCGCTGCGCTTCGTCCTGGTTCCTCGTTGATGGCCCAGGGACCCGAACACCGCCCTCCCCGGTGACCGAAGCTGAAAAAGAGATCGGGGGCATCCAAGAGGGCGCGTCCAAGAGGAGAGCTCGAAAATCATGACGAACGAGGGAGGGGCCGAGGAACGCATTGAGAGAAGAACAGGGGCCAAGCATCCCGAGGATATTTCATGATCCTGGCCAGGCGATCCATCCCCCCCTCGTCATCACCCCCCACTTGGCCGCCCCCGACTGGAGAGCGAAGCTGAAGAAGAACGCCCATGGCCCGCCGGGGACTGACAGAATCAGCCCGAAAGAAGCCCGCAATCGATCACCCAAGGGCTGGGCGGTCGAACGGCCTGCGGCACGGGGCCAGGACCCCCGTCAGGCCGCGAGCCGCGGTCCTCTCGTCCGCGGCGTCGACCTCCAGTGGGCAGGCGAAGCCGCGGCTCAGTTCCTGCCGCGGGCGGGGCGGGCGACCAGTTCCCCCCCTCGCTCGCCGAGCGTAAAAGATGTGTTCCGTCCCCCGCCGCAGCGCAGCTCGGTCTGGCAGGCATGAGGCCCCTGAAGTTTGCTGCCACGGGCGTGCAGCCGAAGCTGCGTGAAACGCCCAAAGGAACGAGGCAGGCAAACCGAGGGCGACGAGGAGGAGGAGGAGCCCTCTACCTTTCTTTACGTGTTGTAGGTTTACCTCTACACGTTCAAACACGTCAGCCGATGACCTATGGCGCGGCGTTCCAAAGGTCATTTGGCTTTAGTTTGATCACCCCCGAGGGACGACAGTCCCTGGGGGGGACGGCACTCCGAGACTTCTCATGCCATCAGGAATCGGGAACCAGCAGGAGCCCAGTGCCACCGAAAGCGTGTAGTTGTAAGCGTTTTCCTCATTTGCAATGCCTAGCCGGTCCACACTGGACGGCTCAACTGTGCGTGCCCTTGCTTTCCGCGCGCTGGGCCTCGGCAGCGCCCGTGGATGCACCGACGCCGCGGCCCAGCCGCTGCCACGGTCCCTGCTGCCGATGCTGGCCGCGCCAGCGCGCTCAGTATGGAAGTCTTCCACCTCTGAGTGCCCCCTTTCTTCCTCCCGCGCCTCCGCGGCCGCTGTGTGCCTCAGTCTCGCCTCTTGCATGCTGGTCAATTCGCTCTTCGATTTCCCCGAATTGGTTGGCCGCTGGTGCGGTTTACCTCTGCCTCGCCGCCGACGAGAAAATAGGTGTAAGCGTGTGCTGCTGGCCCACCAAAGCGTAGATCGAGCGACTGCCTTTTCCAATTCCGTTCCAGGGGACGGGCCGAAGCTCTTTTTGTGTTCAACATGTTCCAACGTCACTCCAGGCCTCCCTCATGGGGTCTTAGTAGACGGGGTCGGAGAATCGCCCCGCTTTCGGAGGGGAGAATATCGGGCTCAACATCGAGCCGCATCGCTGATACATCGGATTGCACCGGCGATGCGGCACGATCTTTCGACCCCATGTGGTCGGACTCCATGTGTGAAGCCTAGAGCCATGCACCAGCTCAACGGCTGCCTGAAGCGCCCGTGGATGCCGGCGATGAGAAATCAGAAGGCCCTCCCCTTGCAACCGCATCCTCCTCATTACGCCCGACGCCGACGGCAGCGCCGCCCCGCGCGCTCGGGGCCGATGCCGCACACAGCGTCCTCCTCCCCACCCCTCATCCAGAGAGCAAAGGAGACACCCTCATACAGTCATCACGCTACCATAAGAAACGCAACATCAGAAACGTAGGCGCTGTTCTGGCCAAGCCTAGCCTCGGCCACGAATTGGTTTCCCGACCTAGACCTAAGGAGCGGCCCGAAAACCATCGTTTCTCCTAAATATGTTTGTTGCATGGGCGTCTAGGCAGAGTCACTGCGCTGGTGAAAGAAGCGCGGTGTGGTGCAAGGAACGCGAATTAGGCCACCATGCAAGAGGAGGAGGAGAAGGAGGAGGAAGCGCCCGGCGGCGGCAGGGGGGGAGAGGGAGAAGCCGGGTCCGCTCAGGGGCGGCGCCGGGGGGGGAGCCAGCGGCGGCGGGCCGACAGCTGGCGGGGGGTGCCGGGGGCAGACTCCTCCTAAACACACACACACACACACACACACACACAACGTGGTCCTTATTTCAGCCTCTTGACTGTAAGAACGCACCCCTACGAACGAACCCCTCTTAGCAAACGCGCGCAAGGGGGGCATCGAAGAGGGCGGGACAGCTTAGCAGACGCGCAAGACGGCTCAGAAAACGCAAATCATGGGGGACGGGGTGGCTTTTCCAAGCTTGGTTGAGGGGGATGATGAAGGGAACCGGCTCAAAGGAACCTGCTCAGGGGATGATAAAAGAGAACCGCCGATAGCGACTCCGCACGCTCCTTTGCGAGGGTGACCGCGAAATCCGGCGAATGGGGTGGGCTATCATGGGAGGGTGACCGAGGTTTGCGGGGTGGGCTATCAGGCGAGGGTGACCGCGAAATCCTCGTCGACCGTGGATTATTATCTAGAAATGGTAAACCTAGATTCAATATGTTCAGATTATACCTCCATTGGATGATTGGCCTGTGGATGGATCAGTGTCCCCCCCATCGCCGGATCATCTTCATTCCAGAGTAATGCATCTGGGGTCGACATTCCGACATAATGAACCAGGGTTGATCCCAGTCCAATCTCCTTCTCGGGCGCCCCCCCTCCGCCGGAACATTATCATTCTGGAATTACAAACCTGAGTTTATTATTATTCCCCGAACATTACGAGACCCAATTTATAATGTTCTAGAGATGGCGGACTAGGGTCAATATTCTAACATAATGAATCCAAGTTTGGAGGCGCGGGGCTGGGGGGAAATAATACTGAGAATCATTCCAGAATCATGAATCCGGATTCAATATCCGCCTATGGTTCAGGCGACGCCCCTCAGCCTCCAGTATTATCATTCCAGAATAATCAACCGGGGGTCATGATTCCCGAGACATGATTAACCCCAATCGGTATTCCCAGAACACTATGAACCCAGGTAAATATCTTTTTGGGGTCGATATGCCCGGAGCATTATAAACCTCGTTTTATAATGTTCCCGGGAGAAAATTATAAACCCCAGTCAATATGTCCCAGAAAAATAGACCCCAGGTTCATAATGTTCTGGGAGGACATCACGAGCCCTGGTCAGCAATCCCGGAACATTATTAACCCAGATTAATATCTTTTTGGGGTTCGTCCTGTATCAGGCCCACATCGGCGATCAACGGGCGGTTGGGGGCCGATGCATGCCCCCTGAGCCAATCCCTAGAGGAACAAAAAGGAAAGAAACATGAACTTTCGAAGGTCCGTGCGGATTTCTTGGATCTGCGTCAGGCCCCCCTCCCTGGCGCGCTCCGCGCGCCAGGGGCGGCGCTGGAGGCGCCGCCAGGGGCGGCCACAACGCGAATCCAAGAAATCAGAGAATGTTTATGCCGCTTTTTCTTCTTCGAATCCCTCCCCAACGTTGCCCCCAATCCTCCCACATCCCCAGACCTCTTTCTCCCCCACCCTCGAGGCAAGCACCTGCAGGGCGAGGGTGCGCGCCAGCGCGGGCCGTCACAGCCTCGATGGCGGGTGCAATTCCAGGAACGCGTTGTTGATCACGGTTGTGCCGGTCTCCTTGACTCTCGTGAGGAATATGACCCTGGGCCCCTCGCACCACATCTCCGTGGTCAGCGTCTGGCCAGGGAGCACTGGCGAAGAGAACCGGACCTTCATCGTCCTGAAGCGGTCGGGGTCGTTGTCCCCACACGTGCGCAGCACCATGCGCGCGGCGTGGCCCAGGGTGCACAGCCCGTGGAGGATCGGCTCGGGGAATCCTCCGAACTTCACGCCGCAGAAGTCGGGGTCGACGTTCGGCGGCGCGAAGAACAGGAAGACGCAAACTGTACACCCACACCAATCCTTGCCAGGCTCATCCTGGGCCCAGGATCGCTTTACACGCCCGCCTGGTTTGGGCAAGAAGACATATACACCAATCCTGGGCCCAGGATTGGTGTGGGTGTACAAATTGGCACCTTCCGACAAGAGGTGAGCGGGTCGAGGGGGACGCTGAGGGGCGAGAATTGTTGCACGCCTGGGGCGGGGCGCCCTGTCGCTTCGGAGGTTTGCGGGCACTTCTGGAGGTTGCCGTAAACTGGCAAGAATGGACTGCTGGAGGGGTCCAGCCACCCGTTTTGAGCGGGCGTTGGTCGGGGGCAGGGCGAGGTGGCCTTCTGAGAATTCTTAAGGGCCGCCTCCCTCGCCTTCTTGAGGAAGCAACCCGCCACTTAAAAGCCATTCTGCATTCCAAGAAGTCTTACCGGGAGCCTATGGGAAGGTCGCCGCACTCGCCCCAACCCCTTCCCAAGACCTCCGGAAGCTTACTTTCTTCGGTCCCTTGGCCGGTGAACCCCAAATCTACCGACCCCTGCAGAGGGCCTTCTAGTGGCCCTCCAGGCCCGAAAACGGCCCCCAGGATGTTGAAACAGAGGAAATACTTTGGGAGCGAACAGACCAATCCGCCAGAGGTCTTGATGAACGAACAGCTGCACCCTTGAACCTGTAGGAAGGCCAGACCCGCGCCTCGCCATGCGGGAAAGCGCCGAAAATGCGAGTGCTATTTGGATCCTGGGAAGGCCCCAACACGAGCAGGGACCCCATCCTACATCTCACACGCAGAGCCCTCGTGGAAATTGCCCCTCGGGCTTTGTGGAGAGCTGCAGCTTCAGGGGCCAGCTGTCAGCTCACAAGGTCTGGGCCTGCGCGCCGCCGAGATGTGCAGGGGGTTGTAGTCCCCGCTCAGCCGATAGATCGCGTGCTGCTGGTCCCCGACCCTGATCTCGTCCACGTGGTCGGGCGCGCGCGGCGGCGGGGCCACGTCGCTGGCCGCCGACTGCCCTGCGTCCCGGACGCCAGAGCCGCCGATCAGGAACAGGGCGCTGATGAACCGGTAGAAGACCGTCCCGTCGTCGCCAAACAGCTCACTCTCGGACTCGATCGACGAGGAACCAAACACGGCACAGGCACTCTCGGAGCTCCGCGTGGATCTCTGGGGTCAACGCTGGGCCCCCTCCCCACACCCCATCCCAAGCGCGCTCCGCGCGCGGCGGGCGGCACCCGTGGCGCCGCCAAGGGTGTGGGAATGGGGGTCCCGAGCCCACCCGAGAAATCCGCGAGGACCTCCGAAAGGTCATGCCTACGCTGCTTGTAGTCCTCGGGATCACCAATCCCTTTCTCCTCTGCCTGACGCCGTAGCGCCGCGACCGCATGAGCAGCCTCGCCCCACCAGGTGGGATCGCCCTCAGCCTCTCGCAATATCGCTCGTAGTCAACTCCAACAACGCTGGTTCCTCTGATGGGAAGGCCCTGCAGCATGGAGAAGCCCTTGGTCATCGGCTCGAGCCCAAGGTATGAGCTCGAGCTTGCTCGAGTGTCGACGTCGTGTGTGGTCCCCTTCTGACTCAAGACACTCAGGGCAGCCAATAAACACAGCGATCGTTGAGATTCGGCCTCCCTGGAAATGGGGAGGATCAGTGGAGAAACATCAGCCCACATTTTCTGGCGGGCCCTGCTGCCAAGCCGGGCCAGGCCAAGCTGGCCGCCAAGTGTGATTTGGCATGGCTAAGGCCAGGCCAGGCCAGGCCAAGCTGGCCGCCAAGCTGGCCGCCAAGTGCCGCCAAGTGAACACTCTGTGTGATTTGGCATGGCTAAGCATCAACGGCGAGGGTCCAGATTTCGACTCCCTCTGAACCCCAGACATCCGACAATGTGATTTGATCTAATTATCCGCGGGGCCCAAGGGTGAGCCCCTCCGCAGGGAGCTTCTCGTCACGGATCCAAGCTTGATGATCCCAGACCTGGCCCCGAAAACTGCTGCTAGGGGTCGCAATCGATGAGAACAAACGGCGGGCTTGAAAACATCGAAACGTCAGACTTCTGGGCCTCCTGCTCTTCGTCGAGCCTGCCCCCCCCTTCGCAGAGCGGCCCTAGACCAAAGATTGGATCCCGCTCTGACACCAGGTTTTCTCGATGGCGGACCCAGGCGCGCGCGTCGACGACGCCCCCCCCACTTAAGACCCGAAACATCTATGTATATATATAACAACAACAACGACAACAACAACAACAACAACAGCAACAACAACAACAACGACAACGACAACGACAACGACAACGACAACGACAACGACAACAACAACAACAACAACAACAACAACAACAACAACAATCACTTTACCCGAACGCTCAGTGTTCTCACCAGTGCCAGGGTTTTCATGCGACGCCAGCCAATACCCCCACTTTGTGGGGGGGCAGTGCAAGCTCTACCAAATATCCACACGACTCTTCGCCACCACCCACACCCAGCTTCCCGCCCTATGACGTTCGGACACTTCACTTCGTGGCCTGCGGACGACCGTGGCTACTACACTGGCGTGGAGTACACACCCACAGAAGTTGTTAGGACAGCGCGCGCGGGTAGAAATTTTGAAAAGTCGTGCAGGTGTTTTTCGAGGACCTACGGTGCGATTCGTGTGATTTTATGATGCGCGGTGCTAAAATTCTTAAGAAGCCCAATGGTTTTTGGAGATTTCGGCGTGCGCGCGCGAAGAAAAAACGAATGTGTCCCGCATGGTATTATTTGACAGGGATGATGGCCCTGGCAGGTGCGCAACCGTTGTCGCAGAAGTTCGAAAAAGTTGCTCGCAAAAGCCCGTTTGACAGAAATGTTTAAAAAGTGTTGGGTTTCCTACGAATCCGCAAGAGCGCGCGGGATGAGATTTTGACATTTTTTTGTTGAAAAACCATTGGTTTTTTGATGTTTTTATGTTAAAATCGCTCCGAACACTAAGCTTTTGGAAGGATTTCGTCTTGCGCGCGCGAATGTCCACTTTACCTTATTTTTTGCAAGGGATTCTTGAAATTTGATTATATTAGAACAAGAAATGTCATTTTATAGTGTTTTTTGCAAGGGAAAGCGGGGGGGAACAAAACAACCGGATCTTGATCACCTCGAATTACCTGAGGCTTCCTCACGAAAATGATGAAAACGTGGCTGCGGCCTAGGCGCGGCGGGGGGGGCGCGCACCAGGGGGCCCAACAATAATTATTCTTTAGAATTAATAATGTTCACAACGACCAACGACAACAACAACAACACAACACAACAACAACAACAACAACAACAACAACAACGACAACGACAACGACAACGACAACGACAACAACAACGACGACAACGACAACGACAACGACAACGACAACGACAACAGCAGCAACAACAACAACAACGACGACGACGACGAAAACAACAACAACAACAACAACAACAACAACAACAACAACAACAACAACAACAACAACAACAACAACAACAACAACAACAACAACAACAACAAACGAGCATCGCGATGCCAAAGGGTCCGTGCCGACTTCTCGGGCCGGCACTGGATCCCCCTCCCCTCGCGCGCGTAGGACGCGCCAAGGGCGGCGCAGGAGGCGCCGTGCTTCCTCCTCCTCCTCCTCCTCCTCCTCCTCCTCCTCCTCATCCTCCTCCTCCTTCAGGGCGGCCGAACCTCGGCCGTCACCGCGGCTTGAGCTGCCCTGGGACGAACGGGTACGTGGGGAACGCGGCGAAATTCAGCTCCTTCCGAAGTCCCGAAAGGTTGACGTATGAGGGAACCATTTGGTCAATCGGAGGCAATGCGAAGGTGGAGGACCTGGGTCGCTCACGTCCGTTCCAGGGGGTGGGGTCGGGAAAGAGCGCCGCAAACCATGCGTGTGGGGAAACCAGCACCCGACCCCTCGCGCACGTTCGGTGCAGTTACGGGGAGGGGGGGAAGGGAGGGAGGGGGGGGGGGGGGGAGGGGGGGGGGGGGGGAGGGGGAGCAGGGGGGGGGGGGGGGGAGGGGGGGAGAAGGGAGGGGGAAGGGGGGGGGAGAGGGGGGGGGAGGGGGGGGACGGGGGGGGAGAACGGGGGGAGACGGGGGGGGGGGGGGGGGGAGGGGGCGACACCTCGTAACGGACGGTGCGGGTTCACATATTAAACGGTATCAAGGTGACACGGAGACCTCTCGATACGCACGTACGCACGTCTAGCACACGCGCGGCCCGGCCAGAGGCTGGGGGAGCATGTGGCAACGCCACCGTGCGCCTGCGCCGCATCGTCGCCTCCCCACAGACCGCCCGGTGAAGCCATCGGGACTTCGAGGCCGCGAGCCACCGGACCATCCGTCAACGGACAATCTCAGGACCTCACCCCGCGCCGAAGGCGCCGCCTGGAACGGGGAACGCCAGGGGGGACTGGCTCAGGGGGAACATCGACCTGGAACCGGCGATACATCAACGAAAGATCGGCGATGGGCTCTCGATTGCGAAACCGCACGATCCTTGGCGGGAAGGGGGGTCAAGGCCCCGATTGGAGGCGAGAAGGCGATTTCGGGTGCGCCGACGAGGGGGGCCAGGAAGAGGGGGTTAGCACATCATGGCCCGAGGCACGTGCGCGGACGAGAGGGGGCCAGGGATCGCGATGAAAGAAGAAGGGGTGGGGCATGAAATCTGGAAGATATCATGGCCGCCGCCATGAGATACACCCTCTCAAATTTTAGCCACCTCTGGCGGGCAATCGACTATTTGGGGTCCATTTCCTCAGCCCCACCCCCTCTGGGCGAGCCCCCCCTGTGAGGGGCAACGATTGGGAGGGGGGGGACCGGCACAGGGAGGGGGGGGCGGAAACATCGAGCTGCAATCGGCAATACACTGCCGATAGATCGGCGGGGTGCGCTATCGGGCCCCTGCCGGCGACGAGTGGCAGGTGGGGGCACGCATCCCCCCTGAGCCAAAGATGCTGCGGGGAGGGGGCCCAGGCCTGCTTGCGCGGGAAGACGGCCGCGGACGTCCGAGAAGCCCCTGCCCCGCGTGCCAGTCTGAGGAAGCGGAGCCCGGCCCTCTCGAAGCGCCCCCGGCACCCCCAGGCCAAAGACTGCTTGCCAGCAGGTCCATCCGGGACCCTCGCGGGATCCTGGCCAATTCCAAGATCTCCGAAGATCTGCTTCAATCTGGGCGTTTGGCCTTGACCTCGACCTCGGGGGCCCGCTTTGGGCCCTGGGGCCATTCGAAATGGATCCGGAACGCAGATCTACCCCCGGGAAAAGAGTGGGGAGCTCTGGGGCCACGGATTGAAAAAGCATAGTGAGCACTTCTTATTTGGCGTTTCGACATTGGGCAAAAGGGGGGGGAGAGTGTCTGGCTCCGGACCTCTGCTGAATGTGACTGTTTGCAACAGTGAGGGTTATGGGGGAGAACCCACCTGCGTGAAGCAGGCGCCAAAAACAGCCAAGATCTACTCCATGGGGGGGAGCGGGGGGAGAGGGCGCGAGAGACTGCGACATTTGGCAAAACAATGACTAAGAAAACGATCACAATATCGGAGTGTGTCTGGGTTTTTGAGCTGCGTCCAGCCGTGGCCACGCGGGCGCCGCGCGGATCTCTCGGGTCGGCGCGGGTCCTGCCCCCCGGCGGCGCCCGCGGCGCCCAGTGCCGACCCAAGAGAACCGCGCGGACCTCTGAAAGCTGTTGTTTGCGCAGCCCGTCTTCTTCGATGGAGATCCAGAAGAAGCACAAACCACGCAGAAGTCGTCCGTCTGGAACATCCTCCCTTTTCTAGGGCTTCCTCGCCCCTTGCTTCCTCGCCCCTTGCCCTTCCCGCTCCTGCTCGTAGACGTACCGCAGGTCGGCGTAGCGCGCCGACCCGGCCTGCCCGCAGCCGATGCCAACAGCGTAGAGCAGCAGGTCGCGTGGGGTGTACGCCACCTCCTTGGGGAGGCCCGGGCGGAGTTCCAGGGTCGGCGCTGGACCCGGGCCCGGGGTCTAGCGCGCACCCAACCCAGCGACGACCCACTCGTGACAAAATACGCAAAAGGAACCTAGGCAACGACGACCCACGCGTGACAAGTACACAAACCAACAACAACAACAACAACAACAACAACAACAACAACAACAACAACAACAACAACAACAACAACAACAACAACAACACAACAGCAACAACAACAACAACAACAGCAGCAACAACAACCACAACAACAACAACAACAACAACAACAACAACAACAACAGCAACAACAACAACAACCAACCAAACAAACAAACAAACAAACAAACAAACAAACAAAAAATGACGCGTAAATAGCATGCTTGGGCCCAGGAGGTCCCAAGCATACTATATACGCCTTCTGGCCGAGGCCGGGAGGGTGCAGACACCACACGAACCTAGGGCACAATATAGCCCTTAGTCAACACGGTGGTGAATAGATCCCTTCTGCGGAACCAATACCAAACGCCGTTCGGAGATCGATCGGTGGACATGTGACCCCTAGGCCATCCGACTCTTCTCAGGGGCCGGTTTTTCGTCTCGGATCTTCATGTGGCGCAGAGGCCAAAAATCTGGCCTCTGGGAGCGAAAAAACGAAAACTGATCCAAGACGTTGGCTGTCTGGGTCGTTAAGAGGCCACGAAACTCCATTCGATGCTACGAAACAAACCCCACCGCACCCCCAAAAACACACATATGTATATATATATAGACAGACATACATATACATATCTCTATATATATACACATGTATATATGAATAGCTCGCCCCCTACCAAGACCTACCTCAATACTGCAACATGTTTGAGTGACTCGCCTGATGCGGACAGCCTCCCTCAAGAACGCAATCCTTGCTGATCGCTGCGACGCTGCAGCTGACGTCGCGAAGGGCGGCGACGGAGGGCGATCACGCTACTGTTTTCGAAGCTTCCGAAACCGTCGCACCCCCCTCGGTGAAGATCTGGCATCGCTGAAGCCTGCGTCGGCGCAGGCAAATGACTCGCAAAAGCGGCCCCCCTTAGTTAACTGCACAGACGCCAGCCCAGCGCCCCGCGATGGCGCCAGCAGACCATTGATTAAAAGCCCGAGTGCCGACGACGAGAAGAGGGCGGGGGCGCCTCTCGGTTGGCGGGAAACCGGGCATGCATAGCAACAATCGTAAATCAATCAACTCGGCTGGCCGCCCACGCCCTGGCCATCTATCGGCTGGGCGGAACTGAGCCGGTGACGGCCGTGGATTTACCGCTGGCAAACGCGACCAGCGCCTGGTTCTGTGAGAATCGATCGCGCCCTCTGACGCAGGCGATTGCAATTGGAATGCAAACGGCGCGCGCGCGCCGAATCTGCCCAGGCCGACCTGAGACCGACATGGCGAGAGTCGGCGCGAATGCAAGGTCGACGCCCTCCGAGAAAGAGCGCGCCAACCGACGGGGCGCGCACTGCTCGACCACCAGTGGCTCACGGTCCGGGAGGGCGGGGGGGGGAAGGGGCGCGGCCAGCGGCAATGTCGTCGAACCCTGGACCCCGCCCTCCACTGAAACCTAACACGAAGCTCGTTGGGCCACGCCTCGTGGAATTGCAAGCGGTTGCCCTGCCAAGTCCTGAGGTCTTCAGGAACGCGAGGAAGCCAACCCCCTGCTCCACCTGCACTTGGAGGAGCTGCGCCTCCGCGAGCATTTGCGGAGCCGCGGCCGAACGCGGCGATCATCAGAGCGAGCTGCGGGGTCGGGCGGGCAATGCCCTGCGCGCAAACTCCGATCGGACACAGCTGCAGCGGCGGTGTCAGTGGCATCGGTGGCGGCATCGATGATAACGTCAGCGCGTCGATCGCCAATTGTGGAGCGCGCGGCTGCGCTGGTACCCCAAACGACGCTTGCACGCGCAAGATTCTCAGTGGCTTTAATCCTATTGGACGGGTTTGCCCAGGTTTCGACACGTCGGCGACGGCGTCGCACCGCGGGCATTCGCGGGCGGCACTCGCGGGCCGAACATAGCACGGACGACATAGCTTGCACCGTGCCACAACAACTTCCACATCCAACTTGCCCCGCATAGCTCATGCAACACGGCTTACACCGCATAGCACACTGCATATCATTCACATCCGCTGAACAGCACAGGACTGTTCGGGGCCCGCGGTGGCGAAACTTTCACTGTGGATGCTAAGTAAACCGTCTACATGTTCATCCCCGAGTGCAAAACCGATCGCACTGCCGCACCAACCTATGCGTTGACGGTCTCCAGGCACGAGCGCGGCGCTCTTCGCCCCTCGATATCGCCGCTGATCCAGCTGGAGTTGCTCTCGTCCTCTGCTTTTATCATCGCTATTATGATTGAAGATGTTGTTGGTAATTTAGTTATTAGTTTCGTCCTCTGCGTCGTCGCTGATGGCGCACCCGGCGCTGGCGTCGCTGTCGTCGGCGTCGTCATCGGGCACGTCGGTGGAGATGTCGCCCAGCGCGTCGTCGCTGCCGACGTAATCATCGTCGTCGCTGCACGCCTCCGCGCCGACGTCGCCCTCATCGTCGCCCAGGGGGGGGTCAACCCAAGGCCGCGCGGGCGCCGCCCAGCGGGCGCGCCTCAGCGCCCACCAAGAGCTCCTCCAGGTTCTCGTCAGCGGCGTCCTTTCGGAAAGCATGAATCTCATATATAAGAAATATGCATGGCGTTGGCGGGGGGGGGCGGGGGGCGCAGCTGGCGGCGGCACTGGAACACAGAGATAGCCGCCGCCACCGTCGTCTGAGAATGGAGCAGAAGAGGGGAAGAAGCGGGCGCCTGGCTGCGACCTCGGGGGAAGGGGGGAGGCACTCCAGCGGGGCCCACCCCCGCTTGATTGCCAAGGCAACAATGCCGACGACGGGCAATACCTCTGCGCATGGGTGCAAACCTCCAATTGAGAAATAGCACGCGGGGTTCTTCGAGAGCACAGAGCAACGCACGCTGCGAGCACGCTACGCTGACACCCGTATCACGCGCACTTCACTGGAATACGCATTGGCGAACTCTTTGCGAATACCCGACGCTGCAGCAGTTGTGGAGACAGGACTCTCCCAAGAGCAGCCACGTGTTTACAAGCGTGCGCGGTTGAGGAAACACAGGAGCGTAAACGGTTGAAGAGGAGGCGGGCCAAAACATAGAATCAAGAGTGAGCGCGTACTACATCACCCAGAAGAGGCAGAAGGGCCACGCGATCTTCAAGAGGGGCGAGGAGGGAATTGTGCGATGCCATCAGGGACTTAGCCCCGGCCAAAATATAACCTTCATCGGCAACCGAGCAATAAGGGAAATCGCATAGCTAGGCCAAGCTAGGGAACGGAGGCGCGGGCCCGATGCCGTCCACGAAAAAGGTGGACGGCTCGGCAAGCTGAATCAGACCTGCGGCCGCGTTGATGCAGAAGGCGTGGCCTGCGGGGACAAACTAGCGAGTCCAAGGGGTAGCGACAGGGACAATAAGGAGCGGAGGAGGAGGCGCCGACCTGACACGGAGGCCGCGCACGTCACCAACCACCGATGGCGGGCGCGTGGACCAGTGCGTCCACGAGCGGAGGTCCACGTGCGTCGCCACCCCGCCGTTGCCCAACGCGCCGTTGAGGGACTCGAGGAACGTGACCGCGCTCTTCTTAACAAGAGAGCAGGACGCAGGTTTCCAACCTCCAGGATCGCTGATGGCCAGGTCTCCATTCACGCCCACGTGGGGAGCACTACGCCCAACGAGAATCAGCGCTACGCTGAAGAAAGCAGGCGTTGCGCCTTAATCACACCCCTGGGCATTACGCGCATGTGAAGAGCCTTACGCCCAGCGTTTTAGAGTATTACACTCTTCCTCCTAGAGCATTGCGCTCTTCTCCCCTACAGCTACGTAAAAGCAAGAGCATTACGCCCTGCTGTGGCTACTCACCTACCATCCTCATCCTACATAGGCATTGCGCCTTGACTACACCCTTGGTGTTACACCCATTTTACAAACATTGCGCCCCGAGTTCTCATTACAAGGTTGCCTTCCCTCCTCCGCAGTTGGCATGAGCCCGTGGGGGGATCCTCTTTCTGCTCCTCCTCATCCCCCTCCTCCTCCTCCTCCTCCTCCTCCTCCTCCTCCTCCTCCTCCTCCTCCTCCTCCTCCTCCTTCCCTCGTTGAGTATCCCGTCGCAGCCTCCTCCTGGTCCTCCTCCTTTTCCTCCTCCTCTTCTCCCTTCTCCCATCCCGCTGAGTATCCCGTCGCGGACTCCTCATGATCATCCTCCTCCCCCTCCTCCCCCTCCTCTTCCTCCTCATCCTCCTCCTCCGTCCTCCTCCTCCTCCTCCTCCTCCTCCTCCTCGTCCTCCTCGTCCTCCTCCTCCTCCTCCTTCTCCTCCTCCTCCTCCGCATCCGCATCCGCATCCGCATCCGCATCCGCATCCGCATCCTCCTCAACATCATCCTTGTCCTCCTCCTCCTCCTCCTCCTCCTCCTCCTCCTCCCCCTCCTCCTGGATTCCCCCTCTTGGATGGCAGCTCCATTGCCATCAACGCCGGCTTCCACCTGAGAGATTGGCAAACTACTCATTGTGAGGAATCTCCCACCTGAGAGGTCCCCAAAAAACAGGAGGAGGCTCCCGCCTGAGGGGCCCCCCAAAAACCCAAACAAGACGAGGCGCTCGCCTGAGAGGTTCCCAAAAAAAACCGAACAAACGGAAGCTCGCGCTTGAGAGGTCCAAACAAACAAACAAGATGAGGCTCCCGCCTGAGAGGTAAAAAAAAAACCAAACTGAAGAAGGCTCCCGCCTGAGAGGTCAAAAAAAAACCCAAACAGATGGAGGTTCCCGCCTGAGAGGTCCCAAAGAAGCCCAAAGAAACCCAAACACCATGCCTCTCATCCCTGCAACTGTCAAACAAACAAACATAAAACCCGAAGCTCCAGGAGAGATCCGACGCCGCTCCGCTGCCCCAGATGCATTGACGAGGGCCGCCATCTCCTCTGGAACTTTGGGTTTGGGGTTTGTTTGGGACAGCTGCAGGGATGAGAGGCATGGTGTTTGGGTTCTTTCGGTTTTGGGGAGACCTCTCAGGCGGGAACCTCCATCTGTTTGGGTTTGGGGGGGACCTCTCAGGCGAGAGCCTCCTTCTGTTTGGTGTTGTTTGGGACCTCTCAGGCGGGAGCCTGATTATTGTTTGGTTGTATGGGGGACCTCTCAGGTGGGAGCCTCCTTCTGTTTGGGTTTTTGGGGGACCTCTCAGACGGGAGCCTCCTCGTCATCCTCCTCCTCCTCCTTCCGTTTTCCTCCTCTGATGAAATCCTTATCATTCCATCCTTCTGCTACTTTATTATGCTGCTGCTTCTCCTCCTCCTCCTCCTCCTCCTCCTCCTCCTCCTCCTCCTCCTCTCCTCCTCCGCCTCCTCCTACACGACGAGGCGAAGAAGAAAAGGCAGAATGAGGTTGACCCCTGCAGAAGAACGATGAGGTAGATCTTGGTGGGGGGCGTCCATACACATATATATACATATATATATATATACATATATATATAGAGAGAGAGAGAGAGACCAACATAAAACGTTGGAAAACGTTGGAGGCCTCGATCCTCTTCCATGCCCCCAACTCACCCGTGAAGTAGCCGTGAAGCGGCCTTCACTCGCCTGCGCCTAGCCCTTCACTCGCCCATGATCTGGGCGGCGATGGCTTCACCCAAGCCTCGTCCTGGTCCTTCACTCGCCTTGGCCATTCACTCGCACTGGCCATTCTGACCCCTGATCCTCCCTGAGATCCGACGTCGCGGAAGAACTGAGGCATAGTGAAAAATCACAACCCGAGCTCTCCACCCTCTTCTAGAGTGGGCGGGGGTGGGCACTAGACCGCCCCAACCGGAGCCCAGGATGCCGCAGGAGGCTCTGCGCGAACGCGCGCGAGCAGCATGAGGACGACACCACCTACACACACACACACACCGAAAACTGTCTTGGCAAACGAAAAAGCCCACCCTGGGCCCAAGATCGTTGTATACGCCTTCCTGGCCTCACCAGGATGGAACACACCGTGAGATCTGACGCCGCAACTGAATCACGCCAGCGTGGAGAATCACAGCCGGAGCCGCAGACCGTCACCTTCCTGCGGCACCTCCCAAGCCAGATCGAGCCCACAGTGGCTCTGGGGCCGCCCTCGATCTTGAACCATCGATCCTCGCCCCTGCCCCTCGCCCCGAATCCTCTCCTGAATCCTCGACACTCGACCATCTTCGCCCCCGATCCTCAATCATAGATCCTCGACCTCGATCCTGCCCCCTCGCCTGGGCTCCTCTGGCTCGCTCCATTCGCCCGTGAAGAGGCCGCTCACGTCGGCGGCCCCCTCGTCCGCCATCTCCCGGAGGGCGGGCTCCACGGGAGGGAGCGCCAGGGCTCCAGACGAAGAAAAACCGCATGGTTATTAAACTTTCGGAGGCCCTGGCGGATTCCTTGGATCGGCGCTGGGTCTCCCTCCCTGGCGCGCAGGGCGCGCCAGGAGCGACGCCGCAGCCGCCGCCAGGGAGCCAGGCGCCGATTCAAGAAATCCACGCGGACCTGCGAAAGTTCATGCCCATGTAGTGGATCTCCTTCCATGAGCTATCGGAGGGTAGGGCTGACGCGCTCAGGAGTATTTTGTGTCTCCTCCTCCTCCTCCTCCTCCTCCTCCTCCTCCTCCTCCTCCTCCTCCTCCTCCTCCTCCTCCTCCTCCTCCTCCTACCTTTGTTCCCTCCGCCGCCTCGTCCCTATTTCCATATGTTTTGTCGTTTCTTTCGCTTCGCACCGTCCGCCACACTCTCATTTCTGCGCGGTGTTGGGCCGCCTGGGATTCCAGGCTTGGCGAAGGGTGGAGGTCGAAAACTGCTACTCTCGGGTGAGAGCCTTCAACAAGACGGCGCGCAGACTGATGCAATGCCAAGACCGACCTACCTCCTCCTCTTCCAGGGTCCTGCGAGGGGGGATCCACGGGGGAAAGGGGGACGCGGGAGGGGGAGGGAGGAGCAAACAGGAGTGGGGGGGCAGGACAGGAGGGGGCCGAGACAGAAAAAAACTGCACAAGCACAATCTTTCGGAGGTCCATGCTGGGCCCCCCTCCCTGGCGCGCGGGGCAAGCCAAGGGCGGCGTCAAAAGCGCCGCCTAGGGGGAGACAGCGCCGAGCCAAGGAAAACGCACAGACCTCCGACATGCTATGTGTTTCCCAACCATCCTGTGGTGTTGGGTCCTCGTTTTGAAGAGACGGCGCCCCGCGTTCCTCACCTCCTCCTCCTCCTCCCCCCTCCCTCCTCCCATCATCAGCATCATCATCATCATCATCATCATCATCATCATCATCATCATCATCATCATCAGCATCATCATCATCATCATCATCATCATCATCATCAGCATCATCATCATCATCATCATCATCATCAGCATCATCATCATCACATCATCATCATCATCCCATCACATCATCACAGCACCATCATCATCATCATCATCATCACCACCACCACCACCACCACCACCACCATTCATCATCATCATTCATCATCATCATCATCCTCATCATCATCTCATCCGGCCCCACCACCCATTTCGGCACACCCCTCACACGTTTCGTGGCCCCATAGGGGAGCCCCACCGAAGGCCCCAGTGGCAGGGTCCGCATCCTCCCCACCACCCATTTCGGCACACCCCTCACACGTTTCGTGGCCCCATAGGGAGCTCCACCGAAGGCCCCAGTGGCAGGGTCCGCATGCCTCCCCACCACCCATTTCGGCACAACCCTCACACGTTTCGTGGCCCCATGGGGATATCCACAGAAGGCCCCAGTGACTGGGTTCGCATGCCTCCCCACCACCGAAGCCCCCAGTGGCAGGGTCCGCATGCCTCCCTACCACCCATTTCGGCACACCCCTCACACGTTTCGTGGCCCCATAGGGAGCTCCACCGAAGGCCCCATTGGCAGGGTCCGCATGCCTCCCCACCACCCATTTCGGCACACCCCTCACACGTTTCGTGGCCCCATAGGGAGCTCCACCGAAGGCCCCAGTGGCTGCGTTCGCATGCCTCCCCAACACCCATGTCGGCACACCCCTCACACGTTCGTGGCCCCATAGGCAGCTCCACCGAAGGCCCCAGTGGCTGCGTTCGCATGCCTCCCCACCACCCATGTCGGCACACCCCTCACACGTTTCGTGGCCCCATAGGGAGCTCCACCGAAGGCCCCAGTGGCAGGGTTCGCATGCCTCCCCACCACCCATCTCGGCACACCCCTCACACGTTTCGTGGTCCCATAGGGAGCTCCACCGAGGCCCCAGTGGCAGGGTTCGCATGCCTCCCCACCAACCATTTCGGCACACAGGGATTATAAAACCGCTCCCACGTTTTCGTGGCCCCCGTAGGAGCTCCACCGAAGGCCCCAGTGTCAAGGTCCGCATGCCTCCCCCACCACCCCTTCGGCACACACCCTTCACACGCTTTCGTGGCCCATAGGCCCCATAGGGAATCTCCACCGAAGCCCCAGTGGCAGGTTCCGCAATTCAATCCGCCACCACCCATTTCGGCACATGACCCCTCACACGTTTCGTGGCCCCACGAGGGAGCTCCACCGAAGGCCCCATGCTAGGGTCCGCATGCCGCCCCACCACACATTTCGGCACAAAAACACGCCCTCCGACGTTTCGTGGCCCCATAAGGAGCTTCCACACGAAGGCCCCAGTGGCAGGGTTCGCATGCCTCCCCACCACCCATTTCGGCACACCCCTCACACGCTTCGTGGCCCCATAGGGAGCTCCTCCGAAGGCCCCAGTGGCAGGGTTCGCATGCCTCCCCACCACCTATTTCGGCACACCCCTCACACGCTTCGTGGCCCCATAGGGAGCTCCACCGAAAGGCCCCAGTGGCAGGGTTCGCATGCCTCCCCACCACCCATTTCGGCACACCCCTCACACGTTTCACGTTTGGTGGCCCCATAGGGAGCTCCACCGAAGGCCCCAGTGGCAGGGTCCGCATGCCTCCCCACCACCCATTTCGGCACACCCCTCACACGTTTCGTGGCCCCATGGGGATTTCCACTGAAGGCCCCAGTGACTGGGTTCGCATGCGCCCCCACACCCATTTCGGCACACCCCTCACACGCTTCGTGGCACCATAGGGAGCTCCACCGAAGGCCCCAGTGGCTGCGTTCGCATGCCGCCCCCACACCAATTTCGGCACAACCCTCACACGTTTCGTGGCCCCACAGGGAGCTCCACCGAAGGCCCCAGTGGCTGCGTTCGCATGCCGCCCCCACACCAACTTCGGTGCAACCCTCACACGTTTCGTGGCCCCATAAGGAGCTCCACCGAAGGCCCCAGTGGCAACGTTCGCATGCCGCCCCCACACCCATTTCGGCACACCCCTCAAACGGTTCGTGGCCCCATAGGGAGATCCACCGAAGACGGTACTCACACCAGCATTACTCACAACTGCATATGGTTGGGTCCTTCGCCAGGCTAATTGTATACCGTGTTTTCTGCGATTGATGCAAAGTCCAGTACACTCTCTTCGGGTGGCAGTGACGGTGGGGTAGGTGCAGAGACGGGAATATAAGGAGAATCGCTCGCTACGGCCCCTGCGAAAGGGAAATGTGAGCTTCCAGCTGGTTCGTTCCCTCGCCCCACCTTGGCATACTCCCCCCTGTCTACTTCGCACGCTCGGGACGAGGACAGGCATGGTCACAATGTGCAAGAACTGCTGCTAACGTGACAAGATGTGTTGTCCGAGGGGCCCGGAATGACAGCACGTCTTGCTCCAGATGAACCAGCACTGCTGTTGGGCATCGTACCCACACTATCTAGAGGCCTCCTTGATGGGGTCTGAGCAGATGTGGTCGGAGGATCGCGCCGCATCGCCAATGCATCGGCGATGCATCGGCGATTAATCGCCGACGTCGGCGTGGGAAACCACGGGCTCCACATCGAGCCGCATCGTCGATGCATCGCCGATTCGGCGCCATCCTCCGACCTCATCTACTCGGACCCAATCTAGGAGGCCTAGACCTCCTGCCCCCCTTCTGGGTGCGCAAATCTTCGAACCGCCGCTCTCGGAAGCTGCCCGTTCTGTCTGCCAGGCCGTCCCTCCCCCCTTGCGGCGGCGGGCGGCGAACGGCGGGCGGCGGGCGGCCGATGACCGCCCTGGACCCCACTCGGGCCAGAAACGCTACCGTGCTGCGTCGTCGTCGGCGCCGTGCGTCGGCGTCGTCGTCGCCGTGCGTGTTCGTCGTCGTCATCGTCGGTGTCATCCCGCGGCGTCATCGTCGGTGTCGGCTTCGGGATCGTCGTTGGCATCGTCGTCTTCGGCGTCGTCATCGCTGGCGTCGTAGGCGGCGTCTTCGTCAACGTTCGCCGTCGGGGTCATCGTCGGGGTCGCCATCGTCGTCCTCGTCATCGGCGTCGGCGTCGGCGGCGGAAGAGGAGGAGAAGCAGGAGGACTTGGTTTGTGAGAGGCCGCTGCCACCATGCTCAGGCATGTTTTTAAAAAAAAAAGACCCACGGCATGAAAAACGACTGCCAGTCTGGCAATACTGTTTTGGGTCTAGAGCAGTGCTTACCAGATGTCGATGTACAATCACATATATACACACAGACGACAGACGCGCGGCTGCATGCACGCGCGCGCGGGCCCAACACCCCCGCGCACGCCCGCCCGCAACTCTAGTATCGCATGGTCTCCTGAGGGTGGCGCTCCAGCCCGCTCGCGACGAGATTTGGATAAGAAGCCCTGGGGGGTGCCGAAATGGGCGGGGGTGGGAAGAGACGAAATGGTGAGGGAGGAAGGAGGACAGAGAC